GGGGCCCCGGGGGGGTTGGGGCCCCCCCTCCCCCCTGCCCCCCCCCGGGGGGGGGGGGGGGGGCGGGAATCATAGAGGGCATCTGGAGGTCTGCATTTTTCACTTCTAATGAAAATAAACATTTTCACACATGGCTTAAAAGGCCCAGATGCTGTGTTTCTGCATGCAGCTTCCCAAGCACGCTTTGGGTTCTCGCCTAGAAAAAGGAGGTTTCATCAAGCACGATTTGTAGTTTGAAGTTTTCTCATCAAAGCAACTTACCTTGGTTACTTATGCTGCTGTAAATCTGCTTTTCTCTTGTTTTACAGCATTTTCATCTTGTTTTTGCAAGTGCAATGAATTTGTAATACTCTGAAAACAGGTCAGTGGTAGATCAGAAACTCTTAATCCCTGGATAAAGATTATTTTAAGGTCCCTCTACGCCACATATCAGCAGGATGTTATCAGGGCTTCTGTTTGTTTGTTGTTTTTAATAGTTGCACCAACATGCACAAATTATCCTTTCAGGAAGGTCAAAGGTGAGATGAATAATTCATAACATCTAATAGTTCCAGAGGTTGAAGTACCACTGCTGCCCTGAGAATCCTGTCTACAGCCACCTGCTTTCCACTACTGACTGCTTTGCTTGGTTTCCATCCCTTAATTTTCTTCCTCCTCTAATCCAACGCTCTCAGTGTGTCTCACTCTGGGATATTTATTTGTGTTTTAACACCAGATCAACAGCATATCTGTTAATTCAGCCCAACAAAGACGACAAACGTCTTCCTAGCTATGTTTATCCTAAGTCTTTTCTACATCTTCTTAAGTACCAGTAGGTATAGCGCTTACGCTCCTTGCAGTTGCTGCCTAATTAATGAATGCAAATACAACAGTTCAATTTGAATTTCCCCAGTTGTTCCCACCGCTCTTTTTTTGAAATCCCTTCGATATGCAAATGCCTTTCTTGAAATGCGTTGTCTGAAAGCAGCCGCACTGGTTCGCATACAGCTGCATCAGGGCCACATAGGCTTTACTGCTCACCAGCTCTCAAACTGATCTGAAGAGCGGCCTGGCCTCGCGGCAGCTCTAACAGCCTTGCAACATCGCTGCCTCATCGTCACTATACAAATCTTTCAGCCTGGCTGCTTCTCAGTTTTCTCACCTCTAAGGTGAGATGCTTAGCAGGAAGCCTAAATAACTAATCTAGACAAGAAAAACTTCAGTTTCTAGATGTAAAGTCAGGAGGTGAGAAAAAAAAAAAAAATCATGCTTTTGGGTTTTTTTTTGCAAAATCCCCGCTGAATTTTATGAAATATTC